AGGTGATACATGGATTGTGATCAAAGCACAAGTTTATTTTTACCTCTCATTGGTCCTTTGAACATTATTTAGTGAGGATAATCGTCCTTGTCTCCCAGTTCCGTTGATTATTTAAAATACTGTTCTTAAATTGTGGTCTGTGGGCCACCTACAAAGTGAATCACCTAGAGTGATTGTTGAAAGGCGGATTTCTGGACTCTACCTGAAAACTAGTGAATCAGATTCTGCAGTTTTAATAGGTAACACGTGTAAAGTCTTGGCTCACTACAGTTTGAGAATAGGTGCATTCAAGTGAACAGTTTCAATATAGACATAGGGACAGCAGTCAAATTTGAAGGGAAATTAAGAGGGGAATAAATGGGGAAGATTTGTAGAAAGCTACTGTAGAACACCTCTAAATAACTTACCTATGAAATGGAATGAAAAGGGGATTAAAATCAAGTGATGATCTTTCAAAATTGAGTTAGCCTTCAGCAGTTGTTTTCAAACATTTTTGCTCCACATAACCCCTACAAAAAAGTTTGAAAAACAGTGTACAGCCTGATACATTACAAAGTGCACATTTAAAATGTTGCATCATGAATTTAAACAGTTGCAAAGGAAGCAATTTCCAGCATATATGTAAATACTGATATTTTAAAATAAATCTTTTAAATCACTCTTTCAAATATATCCAATGGAGTCTAAATACTGTGGTGATTTGTTAGCTCTATCATTCATTTAATAACACATGGAAAAACTTTTCTTTAGAAGCAGAAATTTTAAATAGTTCTTTCTCCTTGAACTTATATTTTTATTCCACTTTTATAAAAGAATTATTTCCTAACATAATATATTTTTGCTTAAAAGTATTTTATTGATTACCTTATCATAATTCCTGCAACAAAAACACATATATAAATTGAATTGTATTTTTTAAATTTCCTTTGACACTAAGTATAACTTTTTCATTGAGGGAGCATTATAATTAGTATAATAATTAAACAAAACAACATAGGTGTATTTTATATTTGTAAAACATATTAAATAATTATTAAAATTTTATTGGGAATACATCATTATTAGAGACGTGGGGCTGTTTTTGTACTCAGTTATTATCAGCAAATGAATATTACTTTTGGCTAGGGTGAGAGAGGAGTCAGCATCTTTTAGTTTATTTTTGTTTATTTGTTTGTTTTTACAGATGTGAGCACTGAAAAAAATTATTGACCTAAAGTGGATGTAAATGGAAGGAGTTTTTTTACAACAATGTCATTCAGTTCTTTGATCTCTTTTTGCAAGGTTCAGGAAACTGACTGGGGCTATAAGTCAATGTTAATGTTTTTTAACCTTCTTCAAAATTTTGTAGTGATTTTGGGTGCAGTGACTTAGGACAGGATGGGTTTAAAGTTGTCTATTTAGCATCCAAGCTTTCCAAATCAGACACTGCTTTTCTTTCCACCATTTTAGTGCTGCCCAATGTGGCTTGGGCCAAGTGAATAGTTCCACCTCAGGACCATAATAGGTTGTTGATGTGCAGCTTTTAATACACAGAAGTCTATGGCTATGTTATTTTTCTTTAAGTTGTGTAATCATATAACTATGGGAAAGAAATAAAACTAAGTGTTTTTTAGAAGTGGCTTTTTTTAATGCTTTTCTAATGAACTCCTTCCTTACTTGTTTTTCTTGTTTGTTAATACGAACAGAGAAGAACATAGCATTCTTTTTTTTTTTTCTCCCCAAAGCCCCAGTGCATGGTTGTACATCCTAGTTGTAAGTTATTCTAGTTCTTCTATGTGAGCTTCAGCCACAGCATGGCAACTGACAGACAGGTGGTGTGGTTCTGTGACTGGGAAATGAACCTGGGTCACCGAAGTGGTGAGTGCTAAACTTTAACCACTAGGCCATCTGGGCTGGCTCTAAGTATTCTTAAGTACATTCGAATAATGTTAACTTCTGAAGTGTCCTAGAAGCTGACTAATGTAATTTGCTGGCCAGGATTTTGCTCAGAATACAACATCAAGAGAGCGTGCTGCTGCTAAGTTGCCAGGAGATTTCAACTGGTTTTCAGGCTTGTTCTCCTACCTGTATAATCATTAATTATTTAGAAGGGTGTTTTACACCATAACCATTTTGCAGTTTTATTTTAAAATTCTAGCACTTATTGAGACAGTAAATTCATATGATAATAAATTCATTTAAAATTTGTCTTTCATTAATTCTACGTATATTAAATAGTTAATGGGTGCCAAGTAGATAATAAGGCAATGGGAATGAAATGATGAATAAGATATCATTCTTATCCTCAAAGACATTTTCTTTATTTCTGTTTGAATATACTTAAATCTTTCTTTTATAATCAGAAATTTAAAAGGAACTCTAATGCTTCATAAAATATTATTCTCTTCAATTATTTTCTAGATCTGTATATTTTCTTAGTCATTCTACAATTCTCTGTCCAAGATCTAGGAAAATTGCCATAATATGCATACTTTAAAAAGCACATTCTCGGTAGAATCATACAGAGTATTTTGCTATCAATGTTTAGATTTTGACAGGTATTAGTTACTCTTCATCTTACTGTAAAAGGTACACAGGGAAATACACAATTATATCCGAATCATAACAAGCTCAGGGAACGTATTAGAAAAGTAAGGTTGTAGACTGCTGGTATCCAAGAAGGTATTATTTAGAGCTACTTAAATGGCCAATTTAGTACTTCTTCTTGCACCTACCACATATTATTTGCATCTCTATTGTAACATTTTATTCATTCTGCCTGGTATTAAGTTTGCTTACTCTATGTCCAATGTTGTGTTTTAGGCACAGTGGTGAATACAAAGGTCTAAAACACAGATCTTGACTCCAAGGAGTTTACTTGGAATGTTACCTACCCAGAAAACAGAAAGGCAGTTCATGTTTAGTTGCCAATACTCATTGATATGTCTAGGGCTTATCAGAAGAACTATTTGAGGTTCTCTTTAATTATTTACGTGCTAAGTACTGGCAATAGACGACACAATCACCCAAGAGAGATGATGATAGATGCTAACACTGAGGCTTAAGGAACCTGTTGAAAAATAGGTTGGAAAGTTGGAGATGGGAATAACCTGTTTGTAACTGGTATAAAAAATCAACTATATATTTATCAGCGTGTATTTATTAATTTCTTAGTACTAGAAGAAACCCTACTATATCAGTCAGTGTTCTCCAGAGAAAGATATATAGATATAGATATAGACATACAGATATATAGATATTTATATGTATATATATATACAGAGAGAGAGAGAGAGATTGATTCATTATAAGGAATTGGCTCACATGATTATAGAGGCTGACAAGTCCCAAGAAATGCAGTCAGCAAGTTGGAGACCCAGGAGAGCCAATGGTGTAGTTCCAGTCCAAAGTCTGGCAAGCTTGAGACCCACGAACAGCCAACATTTCAGTTTGAGTCTGAAGTCAGGAAAAAAATGATGTCCTAGATTGAAGGCAGTCAGGCAGGAGGAATTTCCTTTTATTCAGGGAAGGGTCAACTTTCTTTTTATTCAGCCCTTCAGCTGATTGGATGAGGCCCATCCACATTAGGAAGGACAATCTACTTTACTCAGTCTATCGATTTAAATGTTAAACTCATCCAAAAACATGCTCATGGAAACACCCAAAATAATGTTTGACCAAATATCTGGGCACCCCATAGCCCAGCAAGTTGACACATAAATTTACCATTACACCTACAAAAACAAGAGTGGAAAGGGAAAGGTATAATTAGATTTATAGAAAACTGCAAGTAAGATATCTACCAAAACTCAGAAAAATATATTCATTTCATTCTCTATTTCCAAGTTTTTAAATTCCACTACAAGGAAAAACTTAGAAATCTGTTCAGCCTATCCATATTATGTATGAAGAAACTGCCATGCAAAGAAGTAAAGTGACTTGTCCAAGATCATACAGCTCATTAACCATAAAGCCAGAACTAAAACCAAAACCTTATCAATATTCTTTCTAAGGATACACTGGTACAATTTCTTCATTATCACCTGTATGCAGGACATGGAAGCTGGATAAAGTACAAACTAAGTTTCAAAATGGCATTGGTGAATGCATTCCTGATACATGACTATTATAGAAACGTTTACCTCTATACAAAGTAGTGATTCTGATTCAGATCTTGAAGTACTTTCTGCACCGTTATTACTGAATTATGTGGCAATTTGGAGTTAATTCAAATGTGCCTTTTTGCATTCTCTCATAAGGACTTTTGAACAAAGAAAATAGACCTTTAACACTTCCTGTGAAAGTAAAGATCATGATAAAGAGGTGTTTATACAGGCATGGAGCCAGAATGGACTATTTTTTTTCAAGCTTTTGTCACTGAGAGGAGACATCTCTTCTAACCTAACCAACTTAGAAAAACACTGCTCTCTTCCTTTAGGTGTAGATTTAAAATACCGTCAATACATCCCCCAGTGGGATGTGTGTGTTTAGTCATGGGTAACCAACACTTTCTTATGTTTCTGAAATTGTTCAGGTTTTCAAGCAAATATTTATGTAAAGACATTCACATTTTCAGATGTTTTGTAAAATTAACTACAAACACGCACAAAGGGACTGATGACAAGATGCTTTCCCTTAATGAACCATCTTCAAGATTTCCATAAGAACCCCAAAATAGATTGTAATGAATCCCCTGTTACAAATTCTCCTAGGACAAAGTGGCACATTTTTAGAAGTGGGCTACCGGAAAACGAATCTGGCAGAGGGTGGGTGAGTGGAGGGAATCTAGAAGGAAGTGAACACTTAAACGCTTTGCTTTTGCTCACTTGCTTGGGTTTAAGCTGCAGCTACTTCACTCGGTAAGGAAGAAGCTGGGTTAGATATTCAAAGTCCAGGCGGGAGGGCTGTGAGTGTGCAGAGCTAGCAGCTGGAGTGTGTTGTGGTAGCTGCTTTCCTGTGCTAAGCTGATTTACTTGTTTAAGGTCTGACCTCATCATCCTGTCAGTATGGGTTCCCACCTACACTGTTAGCTGCAGCTTTCTGCTTCAGCTGGAAAGCTAGAAGTATTCACAGTGTACCACAGGCAGCGGGGGTTGGGGGGAAGCAAGAAAGATTGCTCTCGGCACTTGTGCTTTTGTTAGTTCTACAGAAGAGGCAGAGAAACAAGAGATAACAAAGGCTCCATTTCCTTTCTGTGAGAGAAGGCTTTTGTCTCCTTCTGCAACGATGTCAGTGTCTGGCAAGAAAGAGTTTGATGTGAAACAGATCCTAAGGCTACGCTGGAGGTGGTTTAGTCATCCTTCTCAAGGTTCGCCCAACACTGGAAACTGCCTTCAGCAGGAAGGATATGAGCATAGAGGGACCCCGGTTCAGGGCAGGTTGAAGAACCACTCTCGGGACAGAAGCGGACTGAAGAAAAGCAACAGTCCTGTCCACCACAACATACTGGTACCAGTGCCAGGACCGTCCCCTGCCCATCAAATAGCCCTTCAGAATTGGCACCCACTAAACCTGATAGAACATCTTCGAGCAAATGAAGATACTCCTAAAGCAGTTTCAGAGGAGAATTTGTTCAAAGAAGCTTGTGAGAAACACTCACAAGATTTGGAGATGATGGCTGATGACAATACAGAGGATTCTACAGCAAGGTAGGAGTTTTCGATCGCGTAACTGAGAGCCATATCTAGGTTAACTTATCCTCTAAAAAACTCTCATTTAGTGTTTAAATAGAAGTGCTAAAATAAGCTCAGAATTTGTATGCAGCCAGTCAGGGTCTCCAAGAAACCCCCTCCTCTAAGTCTATAAAGGAAGACAGTAATAATACATAGGTTTTGATAATTAATGGGAAATATGTTTTAGGATTGTGAATTTACTTCTCCTAGTCCATTCTGATTCCATTAAGAATTCTGTTCCAGTTCTTAAAGACGTTTATTACAACTACTAATTTTCTGTAAATATCCTCTGTTGCTTGGATGTTCAAATAGTTGTGATTCTTTGTGCAAGTATGATGAATCACATAGAACTCTTTCTTACTTTGTGAGTTAGGCCAACTCTGACAAAATAAAAGCTCTGACTCCTCAGCACATCCTTATCTGTTCCTTAGTACATAGTTGCTATATTGACACTTGATAAGTATGTTATCTCTATGTGAGAATATGGAACAGCTTTTTTTTTGGCATTTGAGATTTATTTCAAGTCGTATTAGTTTCATAGTTAGTTTGCAGTCATGAAAATATTTTGCATAAAGCAGGTAATGTTGCTTACAGCAGTGACATCTTAAAGTAGGAAATAGGACATGTCAGCTATTTCTGGACATTAAAATGGAATAAGAGGTGATAATAAAGTATAGTTTCAGTATAGTTCAAAAATATTTGACCTTATCTTTATTTTTGTGTCCACCAGTATTGTTTGAGTGGAAGAAAATTATGTTCCCTCCTCTAATATTGTCCAGTCTAACTTAACCTAGTAGATCTCTACTTTTGTTTTCTTTTTCATTATCAAGTTTTATTTCCCCAACATGTTGTAGACACAATTGATGATCTTGGCAGTGTAATTAAAGCTTAAAAGAGCTGTAGAAAAAGAAATATTTTTATATGTTTTAAATTATATATATAACAGTTTAACATAAAGCTATGCTAATTTATTTGGAAATCTGGATATTTGCTATACTGTGTCTCTACATAAGCATAGAAGAGAAGGACTGGCAAATTTGCTTCTAGATATAAGTTTTTCCAATATATCTCCCTGGCAGTTCCTTGCTTTCAGAAATTCAAAACATAATATCAATAGAAAAAGCAACATAACATTGTGGCAAAAGACAAATCAACTGTGAAAATGATGCCCTTATAGGAACTCGATCTTGTTGAAATGTAAACATGCAAAAGACTTCGTGAAATGACTTTGAGTATAATATTAGATTGTTTGTGATACAGAGGTCTTAAGAAATAAAGTATGTATGTATGAATTTTCCTAAATATTTTCGTGATTACCCCAGAAAATGCTATATAATTGTTGGCATTGCAGGTTGTATTTAGTACAACTAATTGAATTTTCAAAGTAATATATGATCCATACTTTTAGATTCAGCAGGTTTTCAAATTATCTCTCCTCATCATGAATAACAATTTTAAAAACTGCTGAATTTGGCTGTTAATATTAAACTTATTGACTCTGTTGTAGAAAAATTTAAATTATCTGCTGTGACCTCCTGACAAAATTATTTGAGGATCCCTGAATTGATTTTCCAGCATGAGAATATATTTACAATAAATTAGTTGCTAAAAGAAAACGCCAGATAAAACGTCAAATATAACGTGTCACCAAGTAATATTTTTAAAAAATATGTTTCTCTTTTTATTTTATTCCTCATAGTTTTCATATTCTAAGGAAATGTTCTGTTAAATATCCTATGGTTAGAGTGGAAAGTTAATGTTTTCTTAAATAAATACAGGAAGTGGTTTTATAGATGTGCCAAGGATATTTTAAGTGGAAGAGAAGGGGTAAATTGAGGACCTTATTAATTGAAATATGATGGCTTATTAATCTATCATTACCCATTCTGAATTGCTATGTCTCGATTAACGAGAGTTTGAGAAACAGCTGTCTTATGTCCTGCTTCTCTAATGCCTCTCTTCTTCAGCAAGATTGGGGAGCAGGAGGAAAGGATCCTGAGAAGTTGGCAGCAGTCTGCCATCCCCTCAATAGAACTCTTGTGCTTAAAAAAAAACAGACAAACAAAACGGCAGTCAGTGTGGAGAATTATCACACTAGTACAAGATCGTCTCTAACACTCAAGGCAAAGTAAGGGTCTTTAAGCCATCCTGCTTTCTACAAATGTTGCAGGGAATGAATAGAGAATGGACTAAATTACTAGCAAATACATTTCTATATAGTTGAATTATAAATATGTACTTCATTTAGGAACAGCTCAGTATCGTGATCCCACACTGTAAGTATGCATCTACCAGCACGCCCGTCATCAGAGACCTGGGCTCAATTATCATTTTCTTTTTGTCCTAGTTATCTACTAACTCTGCATCTGTGCTTCTCCGTAACTACCTTGCTCAGTGTCCTTCCCTTATCTCATCCCTAGCATTCCCAAAATCAGAACAAATATTTTAACAGTGCATTATGATCATGCTTCTTATAGATAGAACATTTAGTTATGAAATTATATATATAAATATAATATTTTGTAACTGCTCAGAAAGAAATGATTGCATTAGTCCCCAGGTGTATGTCAAAGTGTTAAACTGCATTTGTTAAGACAAATGCAGTTATCTCCTCACTGTGCTTGAGAACATTGAGTAAAATGCTGATTACCTGTGTATGGACCCAGAACAACACGCCCCTGTACAAAGTTGGAGGTTCACAGGGCTGTTCAGTTTTCCTTAAAACTTTGCAGGAATGGGGATCATATCCTCATTCTACCTGCTGGGGCTTTAGTCTTTTGCATAACCTACCAACTGTACAATATGTAATTTTGTATATCTTTGCCAGTGTTGCATTATTAGACAAGATTCCAAATTCCCTCTCCACTTGAGTCCTTTCCAATTTTCAAGTGAGGTTTGTCTAAAATAAAAAGAGCAGCTGTCACTGTATACTGTGGTATCCCGAAGAAGGGGAGATTGGATGAATCAAGACTTAGAATTCATTAATAATTCATTCCACAAACATTGAGCACCCATTGTGTGTCAGGCATACTTCTAGGTGCCGAGGATAAAACAGGATCAAAACAGAGAACCTGTTCTCATGGAGTATACATTTTAATGGGGAGAGAGAGACAATAAAAATAAACCAAAAATATAATACTTAAATGGTTATAAGTAGTATGAAGAAAAAGTAATTAGAGGGAAGACAGTGAAGAAGGGATACTCCTTCAGATAGGGAAGCCCTTTCTGATGAGGTAACATTTGAGCAGAGATCTAAATGAAGTGAAGGGGGAAGCCATGAGAATGTCTGACTCATGAGGTCGAAGCAAGTGAGAGGTTACTGCTGCTGTGCCTTAACAGAGCCCTTAACCGCCATCCATCTTTTTCTATTCAAATCAATGTCACATGTCCCCACACAGTCCATTGATTAATGTCCAAAACATCCTTAACTGGTGAACTCAAAAATATGCCCTAACCTGTTGTTCATCACAGTCATGCACCGCATAACGACATTTCAGTCAATGACGGAACGCATATGTGACAGTGGTCCCATAAGATTGGTACCATATAGCCTAGGTGTGTAGTAGGCTATACCATCTAGGTTTGTGTAAGCACTCTATGATGTTCATACAACAACAAAATCGCCTAACGATGCATGTCTCAGAACATGTCCCTCTTGTTAAGTTACGCGTTACTATATAGTGATTTTAAGATTACACGCATTCCCATGGCCACAGAGGTGACTTTCCAGCCATCCTGTAACCACAGTGCCATTTTCTCCTCTGAGGATCTGGCTATTCAGTCAGCAGACCATGTCTCATGTATAGAGGCCTGTGCCCTTTGTGAAAACAGACACATGATGGTGTATTTTCTTTCTTAATAAAACTATTCAGATAGGGCCAAATATATTGTGCATCTTCATCCTCAGCACAAATCCATCTGTGATATGGAATATGCTTGGGAAATATTTATGCATAAGGGAAATCCTAAATCTTAAACGGTGAAACTTATTATAATAGTCTTTCTCATAAAGTAGGAAGTAAGCTATGTGTATGTTCATACACACACAGAGAAAGCTTCCCAGGAAGATAGAAAAGCAATTTCAAAAGCCATGAGATGGGAGTGTGCTTGATATGTTCAAACATAAGGAGGCCAGTGCAGCTGGAGTAGAGTCCTCAATGGGGAGAGTAGCAGGAGATGATTTTGGAAAGGTAGCAATAATAATACAGCATTAAAATTAATAAGCACCCTTTGTAGACACTTACTATGTGCCAGGCACTAAATACTTTACATATATTTTCTCATTCTCCCAAGGAAAATCTTTGAATGTGAAGATGGTGTTCACATTTACAAATGATATTTCTCTGGGTATTATTTTGTTGGCTATCTGTTGTTGTTTTATCTTCTTACAAGGCAAAAATAATGTGGGTTTCTAAAGTTAAGAACTAGGCCTGCTTTACTTAATTTTACACTGCGTTTTTCAGTAGAAACTGTTACTTCAAAGGAAGGCATAAGGAACAAACTACAATTTTATTGTTGTTTATAGAAAGTTTAAGGTTAAATCCCTTTGCCTATGGTTTAAAATATACCATAGAAAATTACATAAGTTATTCAATTGCTTTACTAATTTAGAGTATTTTAACAAATAATTTAAATTTAATGGAACAATTATTAACCTTTTTAGAGATGGAACGTCTATTGGTTGATTTTAAACCCTTGCTACTCACAGCTTCATTCCTGAGAGTGAGGTACCACGGTCTTCATGTCTCACTTCTAGCAGTGTGGTATTGGATATATATTTAAGTTAACATTAATTAAAATATATTTAATATTTGAAAAATTTGGGACTTCTTTCCATCTAGGAATCTGGCGATACCTTAGGGCCATGTTTCTTTAAATATTATGATTAAGCACCTATAGTTGTTATTTCTGATATTTGAAAGGCAAGTATCATTTCATGTCTACATTTGGAAATAGAAATAAAGGACTCAAAATGT